TTTGTTAGGAACAGCACGCGTAAACATACACTATAATGGTATACATTTTTCGGCTAGAGCGCTTATAGATTCTGGTTCTGAGTACTCGTTCATTACTGAGAGACTCAAACGGAGAATCAACCTGCCATCAAAACGCTTGCATGCCCAAGTTTCGGGCATCAATAACTCTGTATCTGCGCAGGTAAAAGAAGCGTGTGCTATTCAACTTCGGTCACCCACAGACCCGTTAATTAATATAGAAGAAATCGTGCTGGTTTTACCGCAATTAACCGGGGATCTTCCGACTTGTCAGATAAGCGCAATGACGCGGCAATCGTTCCCAGACTGACGGACAAAAGATTCTTCGTCAATGAGCCAGTTGACCTTGTCTTAGGAGGAGATATTTACCCGCAAATAATTTTAAGCGGAATGAGGAAGAACGTATTAAATACGCTTCTCGCGCAAGAGAATGTGTTCGGTTGGATACTGACTGGTCTCGCAGATTCAGTCAGTCCAACCAACAATCTCGTATCGTATTTTAACCAAGTTACGTTACGCACGAAAAATCCGTTCAGAAACACCAGGTCCCGTCTTATTCGCAGAAAAAAAGTTGAAATTTGTAGACCAGTGTAATGTGGAAATACATGGTTTTAGCGATGCCTCGGAAAAGGCATACGCGGCAGAGTTTCTAAATACACATAATTTTGAAAGCGCATAGTTAAAAATGCGTACCTATAGGAAGTATTTTTTTTTTAAATTTTGGTTAATATTCTTCTTCATGTTTGCCAGCGCTCTTACAAAAAATTAAGAATAATAGAGCAACATTTTCAAAATACTACCAGATACTTATGTATACATAAAATATAAATCATTAAATTGATATTTATAATTTGATTTTTTAAAGAAATCGCAATTAACTGCTACTAATAAACTGTGCTGCTCGTTTTGAAAAAAAAAATGGAACGAGAATCGTTCATTACAAATTTTTAATGACAAAAACTTTGTACTTGATAAGCCCAGTAAAATTTTGAAATAATTATCGATTGAGATTCCTATTACTTATAAAATAAATACACACACATAGAATAAGTCCAAAATCATGTGTATGCATATAAACGTACTTCCTAAGAAGAAAATTTAAGGAAAATGGAAAGAATAATTATGCAGCTACTTGTTTGCTGCTTGCGATTTGACTNGTACTTATTTGCTGCTTGCGATTTGACTTATATACATTTATTACATGTTTACTCCTAGTCCCTAGACGCTCCTATTATTGTCAAAATGTACATGAAGATGTTTATAATATCCAAGTATAGGTTGAGTGCTGCGAAAATATATTCTTCTGGACTGATGGAATACTTATGGTCGCCGCCCATCATTAGTTGAGTGTCGTAAATAAGGTAAATAGAGAAGAGCAATGCACCGATGGAGGCATAAACCAAAGTTATTATTTTTCCTTTGATGAATATAGCTGGAACGAAAACGAGGAACACTACCATTGCAACCACTAATACACCACCGCACATGGTAAAATCATATTTGGTTTGCGTGGCAAATAGCGTTAAAGCAAAACAGACCATAGCCGTAATTCCCACTGCAAAAAGTACTTCATTCGGTGCATATCGGCTAGCAGATACGCCCATTAGGAATGATTCAGCTAGCGTGAATAAACCAAGGAAAATAAAGTTCATTGGTGTAGTACGATGTACGCTTTCGCAACAGGCCATGCATATCATTGTTACAAGCAAAACTACTAATGCAACCCAAAATAGAGCCGGGTTTCTATAGGCGAATTGTTTGGTGGGTAGATGGAAAACGAATAGCGCCACAAAACCAAAAGTGACCACTAGTTGACCCATTAGTATCACGTAGACCTTGCGTATGAACCCTTTGCGTATGCTCATATCATCGAAAGAAAAATTCTTTGGTTGTCCTTCAGGATCATCGTAGGCGCCATAACCACTGCCGCCGCCAGGTGGTACAACAAATCCTGGTTGTGGTGCGTAACCGCCTGGCGGGTAACCTCCAGCCGGAGGGTAACCACCTTGTGGTGGATAGCCTCCGGCGGGAGGGTAACCACCTTGGGGGGGATAGCCACCTTGAGGGGCATAACCACCTTGGGGTGGATAGCCACCTTGGGGCGGATAACCGTCATAATATTGTTGGTTAGGATCTTTCCAAGAATCTTCAGTTGATGAAAATTTCACAATACTCTCACTTTTCACTATTTCTCTGGCAGCTACGTAGAATTGCTTTTTGTTTTGGTCAAGGTACGATTACAATTGCCGCGGGCCAATGGATAAATGAACGTGTAGATGAAATTGAATTTACAAAGAATATATAGAGCAAATTACTTCAACATTCACAACAGGAAGCGATTTCCTTACCCTTTTAAACTATCTACCTCGGAAAGCTTTAAGTCAAGAAGTAATCTATTGAGAAGTTTTTATTGTACTTTTTGGGGTTCTTCGTGTTTTATTTTTTGAGACTTTTTCGGGAAGTTTTGATGATTTTATCTGTATTTTTCGGAATTTTTTTAGTAAGTTTCAGTTCTAACAACAATTTACATCTTAACTTTACCCTGTGAATGCATACTCGGTGGGGTTTTTTTGCTAAAGACTATTTTTCTGAAAATATTTAAGCAGAGTTTCAAACTAAATTTTCAACTTTTATTATAAAATTTATAAAAATGCTTATAAATTAAAATTATAAAATGCTTTCTTAGCTCTTATAAAAACATGATTAGTCAGTTTAAGACAAAATAACTTTCTTAAGAATTACATACATACATATGTAGAAAAAAATAAACATTTTATACAAATACGTTTAATATTAAAAGCAGGTGGAAATTTTCTCAAAACTAAAATCTATATGTACAAGGTTTCCATACACGAAGTTCAAGCGTTAGGCAATTTTCCGCTTGTCTTGATGAATGATCAGCAGTTTTGATAAATTTTGATAGGGTATATCGAAAAGTAAATTAAAAAGTGTTAAAAATAACACTAAAGTTACAACAACTCCGATGAATTCGAGCGACAAATTCAAAGGATTGGCATACAAATGCGATTGGCTAAAACCTGTCAACGCAGATATGAAAATTGGATTCAACATAAACATTGCATAAACAACTTTGTTAAATTTCTGAAAAACAGTGAACTCGAACAAACGAAAAAACCAACGTATTTGGCCATACGCGTTACACACAATTAAAATACTACACGCCAGACTGAAGATAATCCGCTCCAATAGCAAAATTGAAGTGGCTACCAGCGGCAAAAGATTGTTATAGGGTGGCTTCAATATACAGCCGATCACTACTAGCGGCAGCAAAAGGCCAAAAAAAACGCTGAATACTTTTACTCAAAGCTAATGGTAGTCGCCGCTGCTCTACGAACCACCAGCCGGCAACGCTGCCGCAAATGTAAATGAAGTTTTTATTGTATTTAAGATATCATTTATCTATCCTCGATTAGGATAATTTTATCATTTCCGTTACCTTCTTTGTTCCTGGGGTTTATTTTTGGCCAACTGCATTTTGCATCTACTCTTATAGCTTTGCGCAAGTTTGCTGCAATGCACTGGCGGTGATATTGAGTAGGGGGCATGAATCTCTATATAATCCTCAGCAGTTTCATAAGGTATGCATTGCTGTAGGTCAATTATGGCTTGAAGTTCCTTCACTTTAAAAATGAATTTCCTATCACTAATATTTTGTTTGTACCAGTCAGCGTAAGCAGTAATATTCGTATCAATATCCATTGTTGTGGCAGTAGCAGCGCGGATGGATAATAGCAAATGTAACATGGCCTCACGCGAAGGTGTTGCAGCTATTTGGACCAGCCTTGCTTTGAAGTATTTTTTTTTATGACCAAGGTGTTCTCCTGAGCGCATTTGCAGGCAATTGTTTGTAGTAAAATTAAATAANCTATGTTCTCCTGAGCGCATTTGCAGGCAATTGTTTGTAGTAAAATTAAATAAGACTTCCATTCCTCCAATTTCTTACAATACGGATCTGAAAATGAAATGAATGAATTGAATAACACTAATAATTTACTAATTACTGCCAAACTTACCACGTGCCAAATCCAGAATGAAATTTTCAGTCATTCAGGAAGTTATTGCTGTGTCAAAACTTTGACATACGATTAGCTCAAAGTTTGACATACGTGATTGGGCGAAATGCGAGCCTTCATAAATGTATGGCAAGCAGCACAATCTGGTTGTCAGTTGCACAACTTGATAATAAACGGCGAGAAAAAAAAAATTATTTTATGGTGCATGCTGTACAGTGTTGCCAGGTGAGTGTAGTGAGGAAGCGTTAGTGTGGTTATCAGAAAGCGCCTTTTGCATAGAAAAATCGTCAACATGTAAAAAATTTTAATAAACAGAACCAGGAAGCCTTTTGGTTTTTTTTCATTTATGCTAGCTTCTGATTGCTGTATGTAAGAATAAAAAGTTTTACTTTTTTTTACGAATTTTTAAAATTCGCACTTCCTTTAACAAAATATTTTTAATTGGAATAAAATCACAGTTTAAGCTCCATTTTTTGTTCTCAAACTGCAACTTAAGTATGCGCATTAAAAACTGTTCATACTTACTCAGTTCTACCTGGCCACACTGACGTTGTACCATTTACGGGCTTAGCCCGGTCTCGAACCCATAGAGAGGAAATTTTCTTTCGCCGTGCCAGGCCAAGAGGTGAAACTCACCACAAAACCACAAATGGCACCTTTTACGAGATTACAAATTTCACGGTATGTTCGGGGAAACAGTGATCGGACAATTTGTACTACATAAAGGTCTGTTCGATGCAAAAGCAAATGGCAACAAATGTAATGGAATAAAATCCTATAACGATGGTCACCTTCCACAGATCTCTTTTATACCCAAACACGAAACCTAACGCTCAAAGTCATAGAAAATAAAGAAGACTTTAACCGCTTTTTAAATTGAAACTTTTTTTATAAAAAACGCCACTTTATAGAGCTCTGTAAGTCTATTTATTTTTTTAGGAGTAAGACCATCAGTCTATACTTACTACCGCACAAGTACGCGGAGACTGAAAGTCTGAATTGGCCCAGTTTTATACAACAAGTCAAAACAAATTAAATAAATAAACAAATAGTATATATATATGTACATAAGTATATCACACGTATGTATAAAATGTGCTTGCACGAGACACACAGGCATCCATATATTTGCCACTTGCCACCCAACCCAAAACTAATAGTACGTAACTTTTTACACCGACAGGCATAACTACGAGACTCATTTACAGAATTACTCGTTTCTCGGCCAATCGCGCTCATGCGGAAGAACGCGCTGACAAATTTACTGTTCCATGCCGGCTATGCGGCGGAGCTCATGGCATTCGACTATGCCCCCTTTACCGCGGCAAAGCGGTCGAAGCAAGGTTGCGTGCAGTCCTGCTGCATAAATACTGCCCAAACTGCCTCTCGCCATTCCACCGCCTCGACATGTGCTGCAGCAAGGATCGATGCCACAGATGTCGCGAAAAGCATCACACCTTGCTCCATCTAGATGACTGCGAAGACCGAAGGCAACCAGCGCACGCGATCAACGATGGCGAGAGCTCCGATCGGGCCCTCTCTATTGACGTAACGGGGCAGACGAAGTCGTAGGCGCAGCAGGTCGCAGAGGAGGAATTGGAGGGGTTAGAGAAGATCGACTCTTCCCCACATGAGCGAGAAGAGCGCAACTCGGGAACTGACACCCCCAGACAATTAGACCAGTTACCACCATGCGCGGGCGATGCGGAAACTCGTCCTTTCCGCTCGCCAACCCGCGCACAACACAACTGGCGCGACGCGGAAACTTGTCCTTTCCGCTCGCCAAACCGCGCACAACACAACTGGCGCGACGCGGAAACTTGTCCTTTCCGCTCGCCAAACCGCGCACAACACAACTGGCGCGACGCGGAAACTTGTCCTTTCCGCTCGCCAAACCGCGCACAACACAACTGGCGCGACGCGGAAACTTGTCCTTTCCGCTCGCCAAACCGCGCACAACACAACTGGCGCGACGCGGAAACTTGTCCTTTCCGCTCGCCAAACCGCGCACAACACAACTGGCGCGACGCGGAAACTTGTCCTTTCCGCTCGCCAAACCGCGCACAACACAACTGGCGCGACGCGGAAACTTGTCCTTTCCGCTCGCCAAACCGCGCACAACACAACTGGCGCGACGCGGAAACTTGTCCTTTCCGCTCGCCAAACCGCGCACAACACAACTGGCGCGACGCGGAAACTTGTCCTTTCCGCTCGCCAAACCGCGCACAACACAACTGGCGCGACGCGGAAACTTGTCCTTTCCGCTCGCCAAACCGCGCACAACACAACTGGCGCGACGCGGAAACTTGTCCTTTCCGCTCGCCAAACCGCGCACAACACAACTGGCGCGACGCGGAAACTTGTCCTTTCCGCTCGCCAAACCGCGCACAACACAACTGGCGCGACGCGGAAACTTGTCCTTTCCGCTCGCCAAACCGCGCACAACACAACTGGCGCGACGCGGAAACTTGTCCTTTCCGCTCGCCAAACCGCGCACAACACAACTGGCGCGACGCGGAAACTTGTCCTTTCCGCTCGCCAAACCGCGCACAACACAACTGGCGCGACGCGGAAACTTGTCCTTTCCGCTCGCCAAACCGCGCACAACACAACTGGCGCGACGCGGAAACTTGTCCTTTCCGCTCGCCAAACCGCGCACAACACAACTGGCGCGACGCGGAAACTTGTCCTTTCCGCTCGCCAAACCGCGCACAACACAACTGGCGCGGCGCGGAAACTCGTACTTTCCGCTCGCAAATGCGTCCACAATACAACTGGCGACAACACGACGGCGCGGAAACAAGTCCTCTCCGCCCGTCATCACGATCGCAGCGTAAGCAGCAACGACGCGACGGCGCGGAAACTCGTCCTTTCCGCTCGTCTAAGCGATCGTCCAGACTACAAAAATCAACACCATACCGCAAAAACCGCTCCGACGAGAACAAAAATAGTAATCGTGCCCTACAACACGTTCCACCTACCGGCTTCCGAACAGGCCGCCTAACGCAAAGCGCAATACCAACGCCAATTATTCGTGCGCTTATACCCATCGCGCCGACCGCAATAGTGAGGATTGAAGCGAGGGGCCACCTTCATTTGGTCCGCGCAATGATTGACCCTTGCGCACCGAACTCGTTGGTTGATTCGGAACTAGTAAGAGATCTCCAGCTGGAACGCAATGCGTCCGGACGACTTCAGCGTTGCACGAACGCCATGCGAGGAAGATACGGCAGCTCCGACCGGATTACGACGCAAGCGGTCGTGCTGGACCACCACATACGTATGAGTCCGCCGTCGAACGTGGACCCTAAGGTCGCGGCGCCGTTCCAGTTCATGCGCTTGGCGGATCCGCAATTCTTCCGCGCGTCACCAATACGCCTCACACTGGGCCTCGATTTACATGCGCAGATGATGGTGAGCGGGCCCCCCCATCCACCGTGGGTAGTCTCCTGGTCCAGGCGACCATATACGGTCTGGTAGTTTCGGGAGCCTGCCAACCATAAACGTATAGATTAAGAAGCCAAAACCACACATACACACACACTCATCACACACATACCTTAAAATTTAAATAAAAAAAAGTGCATTGAAATTCCAAACCACGTCTGTTTCAATTAACAATGTCCTTTTCTCCACACCCTCAGATAAGCCGGTCGCGACGAAAGCGTTGGCGAATAAGCAGACCCGCGCAGTACAAAATCCGCGCTGCATATTATAGTTAGTCCTTAAGACTTTCCTCACGTGCGTGTACCGGTTGAGACGCGACTCCTTTTTTTTTCATAGCTTGCTTACCGCAAGGGGGCCGGTATGTTTAGGTCCGCGACCTAAATAGATTGCACCACCCTAATCCGCGTTTTGTCACTTGATGTAAGAGCACACAAACACATACATAAGTTACGGCTATCTTTCCAGCCGCTAACAATAAGCCCCACTGTACGGTAACTTATTGGAGGGGAAACTTAACGAAAGTTACTGTGCGGTGGGCTACATCCCTTTTCGTTTGTTAGCACTTTGTCACTTCTTAGAAGACAGCAAGGAGATCACGTCAACTATCACACCACGTTCGGTAAGCCAACTCTTGTGTGCGACACTGTTCAAACTCATCGATATTTACAAATAAAACGCCTTTTAATTTCATTGCACTAAAACCACTGTGTCTTTTATTTATTTATTCTTCCTTTTCGTTACATTAATTTTACGCTGGTGCGCTCCATCTTCGTGCGACGCCACCTGCGCAAATACAGTTTGATAGCCCATTAAATTTCAGGGAAATAATGTGCAAGTTTAAATGGGCTACATAATCGCGTTGATTTTACAACGCTTTTATCAACTTGCAATGTTGTGTTCCAAAAACTTTCAATGTTGTGGATCCAGAAGCTTTCAATGTTGTGTGTCCGACACCAAAGCAAAGCTTTGAAAAGCTCCTATAAAAAAGCATAGTGAATAGGGCGAGGTAGATGACATCTAGATGTCGCCCTATGTACTACGTTTGCTACACCGGAAATAGACGACACGCCATTTCTTTAAATAAAATTAGTTTGACTATTGTCAACTAAATCGAATGCTTTGTAAGTGAAGTGACTTGTGGACCACTTGAGGTATANTGGGTGCCAGTCCGGGAACCAGTTTGGGACTAGTCCGAAACTACTTACCTTCGGCCCAGTTGGGGACCAGTTGGTCTTTTTAAGCTCCTGTGGCCGTTTTAAGGGTAATTCTTGGGCTCCTGCACTGCCGCTCGGGGTTTCTG